ATCCGTTACGACAGGACCTAAAGTTAACCCTTTTTCACCCCAAAAAACGTACTTATGCAATATTTGAACGGTGGATATTAATACGTAAAGATACTACCAAAATCATGGGACCTCCTTTGCCAGTGTAACGGGTTCCGGAGACACTTGTAGAGGTAACTTCTTTATTACGATTCAACAGCACTCCAACAGTCCAACACTCCAACACTCCAACTCTCCAACACTCCAACTCTCCAACTCTCCAACAGTCCTGATACTCTGTTACAGCCTAGGTTCACAGCCTAGGTACACAGCCTAGATACTCTACTCTGGCTACGCTCTGGAACTCGCCCTCACAAGGTCGTAGAGTCGGGAGTTCCAGAGTCCCACCACTGGCTCTCACAGCGTCCCAGGGTCCTCCGATGGCTGGTCTTGGGTCTTGGGTCTTGAGCTACGACTGGCCCTGATCGTCCAGGGAGCTCCCCTTTTATGCCCACTCCCCAACGAGGGGTGGGGCCTTGTGCGCCCCCAGATGTCCCACAGAGCACACACAGCCCCCCCCTTTGGCGGCGCCAAGGGGATTAAGCGCCTGGGAACCCAACGCCTGACGCCAAGAGGCGTAAGTGTCTGACCCGCCTGGGAACCCACGCCTGGCGCCAAGAGGCTTAAGCGCCTGGCCCTCCCTGGATCCCAGAGCCCCCAGCAGCCCCTCCCTTCTTATGTCACTACACCAGTATCAAAATATGAGAGTAGGTTTTCCCCTTTTTCTGGCAACAAAACAGCTGTGTTAAGATGTTAAAACACCGAAATGAAACCTACAAAAAATCATGTCTGCATTGACCACAATACTTGTGGTCAGAATGCAAACAAAAACCGTACTTTGATAACACTGGTCAACACACTTTTTCTGGCATAAGGAATTCCAACGGATTTAAGGTAATTTTGGGGTGCTGATCCCAAATCTGGCATCAGTTTTTGTCTATCTTTGCATACTGACCACAAGTATTGTGGTTAATGCAGACATGATGCCTTGTAAAAGGTTTCAGTTTGGCATTTTAACATCTTAACACAGCTGTTTTGTTGCCAGAAAAAAGGGGAAAACCTATTCTCATACTACCAATAGTATGAACACATAACGTTAAAAGAAACGTGGTTAATGCATTAATGAATATTTACTGTACCTACAACAGCCCGTCGTCAACAGGGGAATGGTCGGTAAGCGAACACATTGAGCTCTATTGAGGCACTACACTACACTATACACTACTATACACTACACTATACACTACACATTGAGCTCTATTGAGGCACTACACTACACAACACAGACGAGACAAGATGGATATCGAGACGGAGACAAGACGAAGATAATGGCGGAGAAGAAGACGGAGATGAGACAAAGGTGAGATAAAGACGACGGAGACAAGATAGAGACAGAAACAAGATGGCGACGGAGACTAGTCTTCCATGGCGGCAGCAGCAGCAACGTCACAGTGAGCAGTGACGTGGCTATGCCGTGCAGCAGGAATCCCGCGAGCTACAGAGGTGGAGCGCAACTGGGCGGGGCTCTGGGCGGGCTCTCTGTGTGCGGCTTTAGCGGTGGGGGGTGGGGGAAGGTTTTTGCTGTCCAGGCACCGAAAGAAAAAAATAAGTGATATTTAAAAAAACTTTTTTAAAAACACGCTTTAATGAAATGTACCGTACTCGTAATGAAAGAACTCCACGACTCCATGAAGTGGCCCCGAAGTTTGCTGTAACGTAAGGGACCGTGGTGATTTAACAGGCAACGTCAGTTTACCGTGGACAATTAGAGCCAAGCTGAAAAATAACATTTCAAAAATAATATTTAAAAATCTTTTTTACATTTTTCTGATCGAATATGTCATCAGTAACAGGACCCTGCGGGGTGGGCTGGTAGGAACGAACAATTGAATGGCTATAATAAAATGAAATGTCAAAAAATGGCCGCCAATAAGTGGATGCCCCGTGGCCCCGCCCTCCACCCGCGTAACCCCGCCCCGGCCACCCGTGGCCCCGCCCCATCTCCATGTCCCCGCCCCCAGCTCGTTGCCCCACCCCTTACCGCCTTAACCCCGCCCCAACCCCGCGTAGCCCCGCCCTCCACTTCGTGCCCACGCCCCCTGCCACCGTTGCCCCGCCCAGCCCCGCCCCCTGCTGCTGTAGCCCCGCCAAATACACCCCTAGCGGGGGAGAGATTCCCAGGCCTGGCTCTCGGCTGGAGAGCCGCCGACGAGGGGGGGGGGGGGGGGGTAGGGAGTTGTTTTTAATGTAAAAGCTTTAAATTTAAATGTTTCTATTAAAAAAACATCAGGGAATGTAACATTGTTAAACATTAACTCCCTTTCACACATGCGGGGGAACTATACGAAGGGAGAGTTTGAGGCCTAGTTCTAGGCTTTAGGCCTAGCTGTAGGCTTTAGGCCGCCGTGAGTTAATTGTTAATTTAAATGTTTTAATTATTTATGTACAAGCTTTAAATGTAAATGTTTCTATTTAAAAACATCAGGGAATGTAACATTGTTAAACATTAACTCCCTTTCACACACGCGGGGGTACGATACGAAGGGAGAGTTTGAGGCCTAGGTCTAGGCTTTAGGCCTAGCTGCAGGCTTTAGGCCGCCGTGAGTTAATTTTTAATTTAACTGTTTTCATTATTTATGTAAAACTTTAAATTTAAATGTTTCTATTTAAAAGCATCAGGGAATGTAACATTGTTAAACATTAACACCCTTGCACACACGCGGAGGAACGATACGAAGGGAGAGTTTGAGGCGTTGTTCGAGGCTTTAGGCCGAGCTGTCGGCTTTAGGCCGCTGTGAGTTAAATTTTAATTTACAAGTTTTAATTAAAAGCTATCTCAGGGAATTATAAGGGAATGTTACACTTGTTTAGCCAGGAAAGCCTCATTAATTTAAATGTTTTAATTAAAATCTATCTGAGGGAATTATAAGGGAATGTTACACTTTGGAAACCTCATTTGCCAGTAAAAATATGATAATTGGTTTTTTACCCTTCTATCTGGCAACAAAACTGACACCTTTTTACAAGGAGTCATGTTTGCATAGACCGCAATACCAGCAGTCATAATACAAACAAAAGAACATAACTCTGATGAAGTGCACTGTCCTTGAAGTTGATTGGTCCACACCCGAAGACAGCTTTCCTTAGAGCCTAGTCTCACATGGGTTGGACCAGATGACGCCAAAAGGCGCACAACTCAAAGACAATGCACCATCAGAGTATGAGAGCTCGGGGCACGCATCTACACTATGGAAACCTCATTTGCCAGTAAAAATATGATAATTGGTTTTTTACCCTTCTATCTGGCAACAAAACTGACACCTTTTTACAAGGAGTCATGTTTGCATAGACCGCAATACCAGCAGTCATAATACAAACAAAAGAACATAACTCTGATGAAGTGCACTGTCCTTGAAGTTGATTGGTCCACACCCGAAGACAGCTTTCCTTAGAGCCTAGTCTCACATGGGTTGGACCAGATGACGCCAAAAGGCGCACAACTCAAAGACAATGCACCAAAATTACTGGCAAATGAGGTTTCCATAGTGTAGATGCTTGCCCTGAGCTCTCATATTCTGATGGTGCATTGTCTTTGAGTTGTGCGCCTTTTGGTGTTGCTACACGGACGGTATCGGTACAGGGATATCGACCGGGTATAGAGGAGTTAAAGAAAAAATTACTGTATTCTAGTGTAACGTTAATTAAAAGTGTTTGTTTTGACAAGAAACGCTGTGAGATTTAAAGACCCCCCAACACCAGCCTCAACACCACCCCTCCCACCAGCCCTCACCACCCCCCACCACCACCCAACCCCACCACCACCACCCCACCACCCCCCACCACCACCTTCTGCACTAGGCCTCGCGAAGCCTGCCGCACTAGGCCTCGTGAAGCCTGCCGCACTAGGCCTTGCGCCGTGCTTTTCGTGCACAAATAAGGCGATTAAATGTATCTCGTCTCTGTGTTAATGTTTCTTGTCTCTGTGTTAAAGAAAACGTGGTGCGTTTCAGTAAAGTAATTTTGAAGCGAAGTTTAAAGTTTTGCCGTGATGCGCCGGAAGCGACGGCCATCTTGTTTAATTCGCAGGGGGAGCGGGCGGCCATCTTGTCGGACAGGGTCATGCCAAGTGTTTGCAGTAGGGGGCGACGTTGATACATGGACGGACGGAGAGTCGGACGGACGGACACATTAATCTATTGGTGGTCTGGTCCACTTCGTTCCTACCAGTATAATCTATTGTAGGCTGGTCCACTTCGTTCCTACCAATATAAAGATTCCCCAGGTAGCGTCACACAGGCTACAGTTGCAAGTGCTGCTGTTAGTAGCGAGTAGCAGTACCTATGAAGGGGGTCGGTAGCCAAAACCACGCCCGGCCGCCTTTGTCTCTCTCCCAGTGGCGATATTGAACTTCACAACGCAACACGGAGGCCTCGACTCTCTGTCTCTGTGCGTGACGTCAATTCACGGTGTCCACAGCCCCCCCCCGGGTATTGGTGACATGACGTCACGTAACCCGCAGTCGCGAGCAAATGACGTCATCCCTATCGTATTAAGGACACACCCCCCCGCCGCACAGGACCGACGACGTCACGTGCCGGGTAGGGGGGATGGCGTCACTCGCGTCTCCGAGCGGCCCGCCATTAGTGGCGTGACGTCACGATCGCGGCCAGATTGACGACACGACGTCAGACCGGCGCGCGCCTGCCAGGGTGTAGGGTGACGTCACCAAGGGGCTGGATGCGAGTGACGTCACCGCTACAAAGACAAAGATCCTCCTACCCGTACCCTGAGCGACGGTGACGTCACCGCGGCGCCCGTGCCAGGCCAGGTGCACTTCGAGCCCGATGGATGACGTCATATTACCGTCTCCAGCTGAACCTCCCCCGTCCCACACCCCTCCATCCCGAGCGTGACGTCATCCAGCCATCTTCCGGCGCGATGACGTCACGCGCGCGGTGGGGCTGCGAGTGAGTGACGTCACTCGTTCCTTGTGCGAGACTCGCTGCGGTGAGCGGTGGTGAGGAATTCCCGGTGAGCGGTGGCGAGGAATCTCATCATCATCATCACGGTGACTAGGAGATGTTGACTACCTCGCCTGGTGTACAGGAGGTCGTGGGTTCGATCCTAACCCTGATGCCTGCTGCTGTATATTAGGAGTTTGCGTGTCTCTCATCATCATCATCACGGTGACTAGGAGATGTTAACTACCTCGCCTGGTGTGCAGGACGTCGTGGGTTCGATCCTGACCCTTACCATGCCTGCTGCTGCTGTATATTTGGAGTTTGCGTGTCTCTCTCACCATCATCATCACGGTGACTAGGAGATGTTAACTACCTCGCCTGGTGTGCAGGAGGTCGTGGGTTCGATCCCAACCCTGATGCCTGCCGCTGTATATTTGGAGTTTGCGTGTCTCTCTCTCATCATCATCATCACGGTGACTAGGAGATGTTAACTACCTCGCCTGGTGTGCAGGAGGTCATGGGTTTGATCCCAACCCTGATGCCTGCTGCTGTATATTTGGAGTTTGCGTGTCTCTCTCTCACCATCATCATCACGGTGACTAGGAGATGTTAACTACCTCGCCTGGTGTGCAGGAGGTCGTGGGTTCGATCCCAACCTTTACCATGCCTGCTGCTGCTGTATATTTGGAGTTTGCGTGTCTCTCTCTCACCATCATCATCACGGTGACTAGGAGATGTTGACTACCTCGCCTGGTGTGCAGGAGGTCGTGGGTTAGATCCCAACCCTGATGCTTGCTGCTGTATATTTGGAGTTTGCGTGTCTCTCTCTCATAATCATCACGGTGACTAGGAGATGTTGACTACCTCGCCTGGAATGGAGGAGGTTGTGGGTTCGATCCCACCCCTGACGCCTGCTGCTGCTGTATATTTGGAGTTTTACATGTATCTCACCGTGGTCAGTGTGGATTTATCTCCGGGTCCTCTGGTTTTTTCCCCCCTCCACGTTCAGAGAGTATTTGGCGGAAAAATAAATGTCCACGGGATGAGCCACTTCGTCAATGGGCTGTCATCTGCGACGGCCGCAGGCGCTTGTAAGAAAGAGCTACCCCATAGCTGGGGCCTTACACCTGGTAACAAGGGAGCATCCTAGATTTGAATTTTTCGTGACTGCAAGGATCCATACTCGTTGGTTCTTTCGGTAAAGTCATGTCGGTGAAAAAAAATAAGAATAAAAATGTTAATTCGATGTTTTTTCTATTTTTTTTCACCTACGTGACTTTACCTAAAGAACCAAAGAGTAAGGGAACATATTCTTGGGTTTTTTTCGGTAAAGTCACGTAGGTAAAAAAATTCAAATTAATAAAAGTAAAATAAAAAATAAAATAAAAATCACGACGTTTCGGAGGCAACACAAGCCTCCGTCTTCAGGTGGAACCGTCACAGCACGATTGCTGTATCAAGTAAGATACAGCGTAGCGCTAACGATTGCTGTATCAAGTAAGATACAGCAATGTATCAAGTAAGATACAGCAATCGTGCTGTGACGGTTCCACCTGAAGACGGAAGCTTGTGTTGCCTCCGAAACTTCGTGATTTTTATTTTATTAATGAAAAATTATTTTTTACCTACGTGACTTTACCGAAAAAACCCAAGAATATGAATCCTTGACGTCACGAAAGCTTCAAATCTAGAAGTAAGGGAACATCGTTTAGTTTAAGACCGGTGGGAAGTCCACATTGTCGCTCCACATTGCCGCTTGAAAAATCCACAGATGAGTGGTGGTCATGGGTTGCTGAGCAGACGCGGTGACTTTCTCAGCAGGCCCTCATTTACAATGCTGCGACACGCCAGAGTGCCACATTTTTTGTTGTTGGATAAATTCCACTAACCCTCCACCGCTCCGATGACGTGCACGCTCGTATGCGAGCATGCGCGTCATCTGAATGAAACCGGAAGATAAACTAAAATTACTTTTATCTGGACGGCCACCCCGGTTCGTGTGAACGCTGGATGTCGACCTGTACTTCTGCAGGCCGACATCAACTTTCAAAGTTCATATAATTATGGTATTTGAACACGTGTGTATTTTTTACGATGCTATCATGTATTTTATTGTGTTTTGGTGAAGGAATGGCGCAACCTTGGTTTGAGGCTTTCGTGACTGCAGGAATCCATACTCTTTGGTTCTTTCGGTAAAGTCACTTAGGTGGAAAAAATAATAAAAGATCACGACGTTTTGATCGCAACGCAAGCAATCGTCATCAGGTGGGACAACCACAAGCAAAACAAACTGCTTCAGCACTTTTTTTTGCTTGTGTTGCGATCGAAACGTTGTGAGCCATTATTTTTTCTACCTTCCTGACTCTACCGAAAGAACCAAAGAGTATGAATGGCACAACGTTACTTAGGCTTCGGCGAGTGTGACCATGGCCGCCTGTTGTCCTAGTCCCCCATTCACCACGAGGCCTTGGCATTGCCAAACGCGGCGGCTTTCCGGAACGTAACCCTACCCGTTGTATCGAACGTGTAAAAGGAAGGAATTTCCGCCTGCCTCCCTGCGTGCCCCAGTGCCGACGCGGAACGGAACGGACGGAGAGATGAAGATCTTCTGCCCGATCTGCAAGTGGCTCGTGGTCAGCCTGCCCGCCCTGGAGGACCACATGAAGCGGCACAGGGGGTGGACGGAGCCCACGCTCTTCCAGTGCCCCCACTGCCCGTTCAACACGGACACGCTGAACGTCTTCATCGAGCACCAGGCGACGCACGACGCGCGCGAGTCTCACAAGTGCGCCAAGTGCGGCAAGGTGTTCATCGACGCCGAGGTTTTCCGCGAGCACCAAGCGGCGCACGCCGAGGAGAAGCCCTACAAGTGCACCGATTGCGAACTGGCGTTCAACCGCTCGGAGGATCTTCACGAGCACCAAAAGACGCACGCCGGCGGCAAGCCCTACCACTGCACCGTCTGCGGGATGGAGTTCACGCGCTCGCTGCAGCTCCGCAACCACCAGAGGATCCACACGAGGGAGAAGCCCTACGGGTGCGCCACGTGCGGAAAACGGTTCGCTCTCTCGGGGACGCTCTTCGTCCACAACAGGATCCACACGGGCGAGAAGCCCTACGGGTGCGCCACGTGCGGAAAACGGTTCGCTCGCTCGGGGGCGCTCGTCATCCACAACAGGATCCACACGGGCGAGAAGCCCTACGTGTGCGACGCGTGCGGAAAGGCATTCGCCGACTCGTGGGCCCTGAGCGTGCACAGGAGGACCCACACGGGCAAGAGACCCTACGAGTGCACGGTGTGCGCGAAGGCGTTCGCAGATCCGGGGACCCTCTCCACGCACAGCAGGATCCACACGGGAGAGAGGCCGTACAGGTGCACGGTGTGCGCGAAGACGTTCGCTCGCTCCCACACGCTCGTCGTCCACAAGAGGGTCCACGCGAGGGAGAGCGCCTGCGGCAAGGACGCCGAGGCGTCGACGTCGTCGGGCGGCTCCCCCGACGCCGGAAGCGCGGACGCGGCGGACGGAGGGAGGGTGACGAGGAGCATGCGTCGCGAGTGCATCGCGCGCAAGGTCGCGACGGCCGCCCTACCGGAGCCGCCTGACTCTGGGGGTGAGCGCGCGACTTTCCCCGGAGAGGCGGCGGCGAGCCCTCCTCCTCCCGCGCCCGCTGCGTCGGAAGAAGAACGCCGGGAAAAGCCCGCCGGCTTTGTCGGGACGCGCCCGCGGGTAATGAAGGCGGATAGCGGAGGCGGAGACGTGTCCTCGGCGAAGGTGAAGGAGGAACGGGAAGGGGACGTCGGAGGCTTCGAGGCGTGGCCGGGGGTGAAGGTGGAGCCCGCTGGCGAGGTTGTTCCGTGCCGCCTCCCCTCCCTGCCGATCGTGAAGCGGGAGCCCGAGGATTGCCACGGGAGCGAGACGGAACGCGGAGCTCAGGACTCCTCCGTTTCCCTGTTGAATGTGAAGCAGGAACCGGAGGAAATCCCCAGTTGAGACTCGGCTGAGGGGAAGGGGTCAAGTTAGAACTCGGAGCTCAAGATCGCTCGGTCTCCCTGTCGGTCGCGAAACGGGAACTGGAAGGATGAGGTCCTCGTTTGAGAACCGATGTCGATGTCGATGCGAACGATGTGGAGATGGGAGGAAGACACCGGACAGCCATGGACCGCCGTTGGCGTGGAAGTATCGCTAGAGAATGGGGTCGAGACAAGAGGGTGGATCACGTGGAGCAAAGGACAAGACCCCTTTCGATCTGTGCAGAAGCACCTGGAATGTGAGTGTGCGTGTCTGTGTGTGCATGGGGGCGGTGGTGCAGCGGTTAGCACTACGCTGCGCTAATAACCCGGTGACCCGAGTTCGATTCCCGCTCACGGCCAACACCGGTGACGATTATCTGAGCCTCCCCTAGGTCTACACGGCATGAAATGAGTACCTGATGCGATGTGTAAACATCGTCGCTGGGGAGACAAAGGCAGCCGGGTGTGGTTGCTGGCCTTCATAGGTGCTGGCTAATGGCACTTGTCCCAACAGTCTGTTATGGGATATACGGGGGATCTTTGTATTTTTGGCCTCCGCGGCCGATGCAAACATTTCCACATGGGACTGCCCAGCCCACCCCTGGTGACAAAAACGCATTCAATTTTCTTTCTCTCTTGACCTCTAAACACCACCTATACTAAAATAATTATTATTACCAGAACATTTGTCTGTCTTTTTTAAAACTAAGATATCGGGAAGGGGGGGGGGGGTTAGAGGGGGTGGCCCCGTTTTGATTTTAGGGTATAGTTTTAGTTTTAATCACAGGGGGTAGTTTACCTAACAACTTCATTTCAATGAAATGTAAGTTACAAAACTTTGAATGCATTTCTGAAACTAATTTGGACCAATACAGGAGAAATCTCTCTTAGCCCAAAGTAAGATTTTTGTTGTAGGTACAGTAAATATTTATTGTTAAGTGATTTGGTCGTTAAGAAACTATAGGAAATGCACGTTAAAGGCTTAATCCGTTACGACAGGACCTCAAGTTAACCTTTTTTCACCCCAAAAATCGAACTTATATTTGAACGATGGATATGAATACGTAAAGATACTACCAACATCATGGTGACCTCCTTTGACAGTACCAAAATATGAGAGTAGGTTTTCCCATTTTTTCTGGCAACAAAACAGTTGTGTTAAGATGTTAAAACACCAAACTGAAACCTACAAGGAGTCATGTCTGCATTAACCACAATGCTTGTGGTCAAAATGCAAACAAAAACCGTACTCTGATAACACTGGTCAACACACTTTTTCTGGCATAAGGTATTCCACCGGTCATAAGGTAATTGTGGGGTGCTGATTCCAAATCTGGCATCAGTTTTTGTCTATCTTTGCATTCTGACCACAAATATTGTGGTTAATGCAGACATGATGCCTTGTAAAAGGTTTCAGTTTGGCGTTTTAACATCTTAACACAGCTGTTTTGTTTCCAGAAAAAAGGGGAAAACCTATTCTCATACTACCAATAGTATGAACACACAACGTTAAAAGAAACGTGGTTAATGCATTAATGAATATTTACTGTACCTGCAACAGCCCGTCGTTAACAGGGGAATGGTCGGTGTTGTATCTATGCCCTGTTTTTCAAAAATTAATATTAAGAATAACTAGGCCAACATTTTTTATTATTATACATATATATATTTTAAATTAAATAATGAAAACAGCCTCTACTCCTCACAAGCACACGAGGAATCTGTGAAACGGGGAGGGCCATTAAACGACAAGACTTCAGAGCACAGAGAGGTCAGATACATCCAGATGGACAAAAGGTCGATGGCCTAACCTTCCCAAGACGTCTGGAGATGCACGGATAAGGCGCAGAGCAGAGAAAAACAACTATTGCAACTCGCGTTTTCTTTAACGTTTTCCTTAACGAAAAGTAGAAACTTAACAAAAAATAAAATCAACGGTATAAGACTGCAGCCTACAATGGGGGCTTGTTATTAGATATTCTCTTATATTACTCGTATTCACCGCATATATTATTTTGTATTGTATGTTTCTATCTACATGACCTTACCAAAAACTAAAGAATACGAATTCCAGAAAGCTTAAGTGGAAACTTAGTTACACTTAACCTCAGGACATTAAAATATAACTCAGAATAAACACCAATCCCTGAGGACAAACGCATAACCAAACTTGGCAAGCCCTCAAAATAATGATGTAACGAGGATCATTACGAAAATTCATTAAACATAGACCGAATAATAACCACGATATACTAAGACTGAGGGAACTCATAATAAATATCAAGAATAAATGTAACATACAGGACCACATAAATGTATTACAAAAATCTCCTCAGCCACCTTTGTCTCCAACGGTCTGGCACAAACAGATGGCACCATAAATACTTAAGGGGGTTAGAAAGGGTCGCGAGGAGGGGTCGGAAGGGTGTCTGGTTTTTTTCGTTTTGTTTGTTTTCCTCTCGCAAGAGACGCGCAGAGAGGAGAGGGTGTTCACGTTTTTGAGTTTAAGCACAAGCGCACATCACGAATGAGCAGTCTGGTTCGAGTCGTGCTCAGTCTTGCAACTCGGCTTGCGACGCGGCGTTGCGACAGGGTGCCTCGATGAGAGATGGAACGAGGAGGGGTCGTTCGAGTCGCAGAAATCTGAGTTCAACCTGGGTCGAGGCTGGGTTCAGCCGTGCTCCGGCCGGCGGAGTGTCTTGAGGGAGCAAACACCGATACCAATGGCAGGTGTCGCTTCTCGCAGAACGAAGTGTCGAGGTGTGGTTAAGTGCGAGTGAAGCTGGCAGCTGCACGAACAAAGGAAAGTATGGAGAAGAGAGAGTGACAACAAGCAATCAACCTGTAGAAAGGGCGGAAATCGCCAAGCGTCGACCAAGCGAGCATCGGAAAGGACGAGCAGCAGCGGATGAGCAACAAGAGCCATCGTTCATCGCCAGAGCGCTCCAAGCTGGTGAGCGCGCACAGCCGCGTCGTCCAGAAGCCTGAGCCAACACAGCCTGAAGTAAGGGCGGGTGTCCGTGTGAAGTTGGCAGCGATCAAGGAGAGAGGGGCAGCAGCAGAAGCACCGCCGAAGGCGAGCATCATGCCGACTCAACAATCATCCAGCAGTGGAGAAGCCTGGAGCTGCCACCAAGAGAGAGAGAGCGCCATTGAATGCTCCGTGTGTTTGATACACACACACCGACCAACACCCAGTGAGAACAGACGAGACGTCCAGCAGCGACGACGGAATCATCGCGCACCACATCGGCGAGCGTCGTGCCAACTCGTCATCCAGCAGCGGAGAGAGAGAGCGCACGAGCAGCACGACTCGGGCGTCACCGAGCGTCGTGTCGACTCGTGGAGGAGCTGCGCGCTATCCGACGACGGAATCATCGCGCACCACGACGGCGAGCATCGTGCCAATGCCGCTCAATCGAGCAGTGGAGAGAGAAAGCAGAACGGGCTCGCTGCGGCCACGCCCAAGCCAGAGAGAACCTCTCTGGGCGCTGTTTGTATATTCCCTCCCCCACCCCACAAGCTAACGACACAACTCCCGGCTCTAAGAAAAATTTAATTAATTTTACAAGGGGACAACGCACACACAAAACGCACACGAATAAGACTTTCAAAAAGTTATCTTTGTGTTTCAAAAAGGGTTGCCATTTCAAGGTGGTGCGTTCAATATCAACTGATCGTGCAAAGCAGTTGCTGCCGTCGAGTTACATGAATAAGAAATGTTTGAGTCATTTATTTGCGTTGATTGCATAATCTTGCCGATGAATCTATTGACGTATACTTTTGCCTTTGCATATTAGAGTGTCATGTTTGTTTAGTATTAAAAGTGCTTAACACCAAGTGTTCGAGTGCTTCTTTCCCAGTCCATGCAAAACTGTCTTATTCATAAGAACTGTAACCTGCGATGAGTATGAATTTGGAGACCTAACATAACATAACCACACTAAGATAATCAATAAATGTTTAATCAAAGATAATCGTTTTATCCTGATTGATACAACTCTAGATAACGAAGCTAATTCTAATTATCATAACTGCACACATTAACATAATTGCAAGCATTTGCATAAATTAATACGATTATCTCCGTGATTATCATAATTTATGCATATAATTACACACATTAACATGATTTATGCCATTTACACATTTTTCGAAATTTCATTAATTTGTATTATTTTTATCAAAATTTTATAATCTGGCATATACAACATCGGTAAGCGAACACATTGAGCTCTATTGAGGCACTACACTACACTATACACTACACTATACACTACTATACACTACTATACACTACACAACACAGACGAGACAAGATGGAAATCGAGACGGAGACAAGACGATGAAGAAGACGGAGATGAGACAAAGGCGAGATAAAGACGACGGAGACAAGATGGAGACAGAAACAAGATGGCGACGGTGACGAGACAGACACGAGATGGCTCCGCGTGCCTTCTTCCATGGCGGCGGCAGCAGCAACGTCACAGCGAGCAGTGACGTGGCTATGCCGTGCAGCAGGAATCTCGCGAGCTACAGAGGTGGAGCGCAACTGGGCGGGGCTCTGGGCGGGCTCTCTGTGTGCTGCTTTAGCGGTGGGGGGTGGGAGAAGGTTTTTGCTGTCCAGGCACCGAAAGAAAAAATAAGTGATATTTAAAACAACTTTTTGAAATGCACGCTTTAATGAAATGTACCGTACTCGTAATGGAAGAACTCCACGACTCCAGGAAGTGGCCCCGAAGTTTGCCGTAACATAAGGGGCCGTGGTGATTTAACAGCCAACGTCAGTTTACCGTGGACAATTAGAGCCAAGCTGAAACAAAACATATAAAAGAGAATGTTTAAAAAATGTTTTATTTTTAATGATAGAATATAGTATTGTCATCAGTATGACATAAGTATACCAAGTTTGCAGTCGATTCCACATTGGGAAGTGGGTTAAAATTGAGTTGCAAGATTTGAGGATACGACAGCAACAACAGCAGGGAGCGAGTTAAATTAAAGCGTGTAAAAACCCGCACAAATTTCACACGTTGACTTTCGCGACCAATATTTATAATAAATGTTTTTTTGGTCTTGATTTGAAGTTTTCGTGACTGCGGGAATCCATACTCCGTTAGTTCTTTCAGTATCACGTAGGTACGTGGGGCCGTCCATAAATGATGTCACGTACCTGGGGGGGGGGGGGGTCAGACATTTGTGATGATGTGTGACGAGGGGGGGGGGTGTTTGAGAAATGTGACGTCACATCAAAATGCGCAACTTTAAATAAATATAGACAACACGTTCTACTTAATTAAATAGACTTTTCCATAAATGTTTTCTCCTACATCATCAAGAGTGCAGCGCCAAATTAACTACGCACTACAATGACAATAGTTTAAAGCGATTTGAAGCATGTTTTATATTTTTTGGGGGGGGCAGAGCTTTGTGACGTCTTATTTGAGGGGGGGGGGGGGTCTGACTTATTGTGACGAAGGCGGGGGGGGGGGGGGGTCAAAAATGGTCCAAAATCGCGTGACGTAATTTATGGACGGCCCTCTACGTGACTTTACCGAAAGAACCAAGGAGGAAAGGTTTTTGGGTCGCAAATGTTGTGGATTTACTCTTCAACACACCGGTTAGGCCGAAGTAGTAACTGATTGGTGTTTTGCTTTCGCGACAGACTTACTAATTGGCTGTGTCGGGCGGTGGGGGGTTACGACACATTTCTACTTACGCAATCTAACCCGAAAGCGGAATGTGCTCTGTTATAACGTGGAATGTGCTCCGTTATAACGTGGAATGTGCTCCGTTATAACGTGGAATGTGCTCCGTTATAACGTGGAATGTGCTCCGTTATAACGTGGAATGAGCTCCGCTACCACGTGGAATGTGCACTTATAACGGTACGATGCAGTAAGCGGAATGATACAGTAACACTCACAACCAACCACTCACTCAATCACTCAATCACCCAACCACTTACACATCCACTCAACCACTCACTCAACCACTCAATCACCCAACCACTAACCCAACCAACCACTCACTCACCCAACCAGTCACCCAACCACTCACCCAACCACTCACCCACCCAACCACTCACTCACCCACTCACCCAACCACCCACTCACCCAACCACCCACTCACCCATCCACTCACCCACTCACCAAACCACTCACCCAACCACCCAATCGCTCTCCACCGTGTGCGTCCGTGACGTCACACCCTATTCCCAGTCGCCGCCACGGTGACATGACGTCACTTGGGCGCCGCCGGTGTGTGGGGGGTGGACGTCACGCACGAGCTGGCTGGATCGACGTCACCGGCGAGACGACAACCGCGTCCAGGACCATCGGCCCCCTAGGTCGACTCAGCCTCAAATGTGTTACGTGGTTGAGCCGTGGTGTGTATCGTAGTCGTTAAACATCGCCACTGGGGGGGGGGGGGGGGCGGAGAGACAAAGGCGGCCGGGCGAGCGTGGGGCTGACCACCCACACCACCCCCCCCCTTCTTCTGTGTCGTGTGCCACTTGCCCCGACATTCTGGTGAGGCTATACCGGGTGGCGCGCGTGGGTGAGCGCCTTTGTCTTTGTGTGAGTTGGGGAGCGGTGGCGCAGCGGTTAGCGCAGCGCTGCCGCCCTACGGACCCTGCAGGGTCCCGGGTTCGATTGCCCCGCTCACGGCTGGGACTCCCCTAGGTTGACTCGGCCTCAAATGAGTACGCGGCTCGGTGTGTAGTAGTCGACATCGGAGATACAAAGGCGGTCGGGCGAGCGTGGTGCTGGCCGCCCATCTCATGCTCGCTAACAGCACTTGCCCCTGCAGCCTGCTAGAGGCTACACGGGGGACCTTTGTCTGTATAGCTGCTGCTACTCATTACTACTAACAGCACTTGCCCCTACAGCCCTGTTAGAGGCTACACGGGTGACCTTTGTGTATAGCTGCTGCTGCTACTCGCTACTAACAGCACTTGCCCCTATAGCCCTGCTAGAGGCTACACGGGTGACCTTTGTGTATAGGTGCTGCTGCTACTCGCTACTCACAGCACTTGCCCCTACAACCCTGCTAGAGGCTACACGGGTGGACTTTGTCTGTGTATAGGTGCTGCTACTCGCTACCAACAGCACTTGCCCCTACAGCCTGCTCAAGGCTACCCGGGGGATCTTTGTCTGTGTATAGGTGGTGCTGCTACTCGCTACCAACAGCACTTGCCCCTACAGCCCTGCTAGAGGCTACACGGGTGACCTTTGTCTGTGTATAGCTGCAGCTGCTACTCGCTACTAACAGCACTTGCCCCTGCAGCCTGCTCAAGGCTACCCGGGGGATATTTGTGTATAGGTGCTGCTGCTACTCGCTACCAACAGCACTTGCCCCTGCAGCCTGCTAGAGGCTACACGGGTGACCTTTGTGTATAGCTGCAGCTGCTACTCGCTACTAACAGCACTTGCCCCAACAGCCTGCTCAAGGCTACCCGGGGGATCTTTGTGTATAGGTGCTGCTGCTACTCGCTACCAACAGCAATTGCCCCAACAGCCTGCTCAAGGCTACCCGGGGGATATTTGTCTTTGTAAGTGAAGACAGCCACTGCATCGTGTGGCACTTTCGGATGCTGCGGATTGTGCGGCCGTCTGGAAGGTTCTTCCCTTCCGATATTAGGGTACCACTGGGAGTTGCGATGCACATGTAAATCATCGTCATCATCGTCGAGATTGACAAACTAATTTATCTAGAACTGCTGCTTGTTGTTGTTGTGTTCAGTTTGTTGCGCGGTTGGCTATGTACAGTGCAATAAAGTTGAACATACATACTACACTACACTATACACTACACTATACACTACACTACTATACACTACACTATACACTACTCTACTATACACTACACTACTATACACTACTATACACTACACTATACACTACTATACACTACACTATACACTACTATACACTACACTATACACTACACACGACACTACTATACACTACACACTACACTACTATACACTACACTACTATACACTACTATACACTACACTATACACTACACTACTATTACACTGCGAGTGTCTGCCCTCTCTGTGTCCCGGCACTCACCACGAAGGCATCAACATCATTCCTGTTAATTCCCTTCCTCCGCCCTCCCCCAGCACCCAGAATGAACGACGAATCAGCGACGAGGCTCCACTGCCCGGTGTGCGACTGGGTAGTGGTCAGCCCGCCGGCGCTGGAGGACCACATGAAGCGTCACCGGGGCCGCACCGAACCGGTGATGTACCAGTGTCCCCACTGCCCGTACCGGACGGACAAACCCTTCACCTTGATGAGCCACCAGCGAACTCACGGCGGCGAGAGGCGCTACAAGTGCCGCGTGTGCGGGGAGGGGTTCGCTCAGCCGGAGGACTTCCGCTCCCACCAGCGGGTCCACGTGGAGGAGAGGCCTCACCGTTGTCCCGTGTGCAAGAAAGCCTTCGCCGAGCCGGAAGCTCTCCGCTCTCACCAGAGGTTCCACGCGGGCGAGAAGCCGTACCGCTGCGGCGTCTGCGGCATGGACTTCACCCGCGTCGACCACTTCCGCAGCCACCAGGTAATCCACACGGGCGAGAGGCCCTACGGGTGCACGGTTTGCGGCAAGAACTTCACGCGCTCGGACTACCTGCGCAGCCACCACAGGACCCACACGGGCGAGAAGCCCTTCAGGTGCGTCACCTGCGGCAAGGCCTTCGCCCACCCGGGCACCCTGTCGACTCACGCGAGGATCCACACTGGCGAGAAACCGTACGCGTGCGACGTGTGCGGCAAGGCGTTCACGAACCCCGGGGGCTTCTACATCCACAAGAGGATCCACACGGGCGAGAGGCCGTACGCGTGCCCCGTCTGCGGCAAGGCGTTCGTGTGCGCCGGGGCGCTGAACACCCACCGGATGGTGCACACGGGCGAGAAGCCGTACAAGTGCGACTCGTGCGACATGGCCTTCCAGCGGTCCGGGGCCCTGAGCACGCACCGCAGGACGCACACGGGAGAGAGGCCGTACGCTTGCGGCACGTGCGGCAGGGCGTTCGCGGACCCCAGGGCCCTCCGTGCGCACGGCAGGGTGCACACGGGCGAGAGGCCCTACAGGTGCGCGGTGTGCAGGAGGACGTTCACGCAGCGGCGGGCCCTCGCGGTCCACCGCAGGACGCACACGGGAGAGAGGCCGTACGCGTGCGGCGTGTGCGGCCGTTCTTTCGCCCAGCGGAGGTCCCTGGTCGTGCATCAGAAGGTGCACGGGGCGGCGACGGCCGCGGCGGGGAAGGGGCCCCGAGGCGAGGGCGGAGAGGCGTCGACGCCGTCGGGCGGCGCTCCCGAGGGCGCGGACGGAGGGAGCGTGGCGGAGGAAGGGGAAAACGCCGGGGGTGCATCGCGAGCAAGGGGGCGACGGCCGCCCTACCGGAGCCGCCTGGGTCTGGGGGTGAGCGCGCGACTTTCCCCAGAGAGGCGGCGGTGAGCCCTCCTCCTCCTTCCCCTCGCCCAGCTGCGTCGGAAGAAGAACGCCGGAAAAGCCCGCCGGCTTTGTCGAGACACGCCCGGAGGTAATGAAGGCGGAGAGCGGAGGCGGAGGCGGAGACGCGTCCTCGGCGAAGGTGAAGGAGGAACAGGAAGGGGACGTCGGAGGCTCGAGGCGTGGCCGGGGGTTGAAGGTGGAGCCCGGTGGCGAGGTCGTTCCGTGCCGCCCCCTCTCCCTGCCGATCGTGAAGCGGGAGGCCGAGGATTGCCACGGGAGCGAGACGGAGCCGCGGGTAAAGTTGGAACGCGGAGATCCGGACTCCTCCGTCTCCCTGTTGAGTGTGAAGCAGGAACCGGAAGAAATCCTCAGTTGAGACTCGGCCGAAGGAATGGGGTAGAGTTAGAACGTGGGGATCAAGATGCCTCTCCCTGCCAGCCGATCGTGAAGCGGGAGCCCCAATGACTCACCCGGTAGTGGGACAACTGCCGACGGGGAAAGTTGGAACAACGGAGGTTCCGGACTCCTTCGTCTCCCTGTTGAGTGTGAAGCGGGGACTGGAGGAAATCCTCAGTTGAGACAAGGCCGAGGGAATGGGGTGGAGTTAGAACATGGGGATCAAGATGCCTCCCTCTGCAAGCCGATCTTGAGCCCCAATGATGGCCCTCATAAGCAGCTACATTTGGAGGCTTGCATCCGCTTTTCTCTCCGCCTGATGAAGACCGCTTGTGTTATCTTGGAGTCTTCTTGGTTCTTTCGGTAAAGTCACGTAGAAGGGAAATAATAAAATAATAAAAATAAAACATAATAAAATAATTCTCACGACGTTTCGGCCACAACGCAAGCAGCCGTCCTCAGGTGAAGAACAGGTTTATCGGAAAGACAGCATCTGAATGAACACCACCAGGCTTGGAGCGTATATTTAAGCTGGGTTGGAGGGGGAAGGGCGCCTTGACAAAGGAATTTGCATATCAACAGTTACGCTGCCAAGCTTGGTGGTGTTCATTCAGATGCTGTCTTTCCGACAGACCTGTTCTTCACCTGAGGACAGCTGCTTGCGTTGTGGCCAAAACGTCGTGAGAATTATTTTATTATGTTTTATTTTTATTATTTTCCTTCTACGTGACTTTACCGAAAGAACCAAGAAGATGAATCCCTGCAGTCACGAAAGCTTTAAATCGAAATTTATCTTTGAGTTTTTTGTTTCTGTTTACGCGGCTTTAGCGAAGAACCGAGAATATGAACCCACATTCATCCCCCCGTCGATTTAAGAAGAAAACGGGAGGGAGTCTGTGGCTGTCCGACTGATGATGCTGAGCTGAATTACCGGCGAAACGTCACAGCTGCTCGAATCGTAAATGTTGTAGCTGGTTACACTCCCCAACACACAACCTATACACTACACTATACACTACACTATACACTACACTATACACTACACTGTACACTACACTATACATTACTATACACTACACTATACACCACACTATACACTACACTATACACTACACACTATACTATACACTACACTATATACTACACTATACATTACTATACACTACACTATACACTACACTATACATTACACACTACACTATACTATACACTACACTACTATACACTACACTATATACACTACACTACTATACACTACACTATACACTACTATACACTACACCATATACACTACACTACTATACACTACACTATACACTACCTACTATACACTACACTATAATTGTAAATGTAGTAGTGGATGTATTCTTTAACACACAACTGATGTAGTTCTGTAACTAGTATACTACACTACACACTACACTATACACTACACTATACACTACACTATACACTACACTATACACTGCACTATACACTACACTATACACTACACTATACATGTAAATGCTGTAGTGGATGTATTCTTCAACACACACGTGGTGTAGTGCTGTACTAGTATACTACACTATACCCTGCACTATACACTACACTACACACTACACTATACACTGCACTATACACTACACTATACACTACACTAATACACTACACTATACACGAACCTGTGCACCACTATACACTACACTATACACTAAACTATACACTACTATACACTACACTATATACTATACTATACACTACACAATTCACTACACACTACACCATACACTGCACTATACACTGCACTATAGACTACACTATACACTACTATACACTACACTATAATTGTAAACGTTGTAATGGATGTATTCTTCAACACACAAGTGGTGTAGTGCTGTACTAGTATATTACACTATACACTACACTATACACTACACCATACACTACGCTATACACTACACTATAATTGTGAATGTTGTAGTGGATGTATTCTTCAATACACTGGTGGAGTTTTGTAACTAGTATACTGCACTACACACTACACTATACACTACACTATACACTACACACTATACACTACACTATACACTACTACACTATACACTACACTATACACTACTACACTATACACTACACCATACACTACACTATACACTATTATACACTACACTATATTTGTAAATGTTGTCGTGGGTTTACTCTCCCAACACACAACCGGCATAGCGGTCTAACCGGTAAAGAATTGGCCACGTTTTGTCGACGTGGGTTTAACTCTCCAACACACACACACACAACACGCGCGCGCTGTTGTTTTTTGCCCCCGATGTTCGAACATCGATATTGGTGCACGCGTTATTTATTAAACAATCGTAAAACACGGAGGCCCGCGGAGTGAGTCTGTCACTTTGCCAGCGAGCGGTGGGTTATTGGCACGGATAGCAGCGGTGTCGAGTACGTCACCCGTGCCACCCGTCCCACCCGTGCCAACGTTTTCCACCCGTGCCAACGTTTTCCACCCGTGCAAACTGTGCCAACGTTTTCCACCCGCGCCACCCGTGCCAACGTTTTCCACCCGTGTAAACCGTGCCAACGTTTTCCACCCGTGCAAACCTTGCCAACGTTGCCACCCGTGAAAACCGTGCCAACGTTTCCACCCGTGCCACCCGTGCCAACGTTGCCACCCGTGTAAACCGTGCCAACGTTTTCCACCCGTGCAAACCGTGCCAACGTGTTTCCACCCGTGCCACCCGTGCCAACGTTGACAACCGCGCCAACCGTGCAAACGTTTTCCACCCGTGCCACCCGTGCCAACGTTGACAACCGCGCCAACCGTGCAAACCGTGCCAACGAATGATGTTATGGGGGTCTGTCTCTTTAACACAGGGGTGGGGAACGTCCGGCCCGTGGGCTGTATAAGACCCGCGGAATCATTGGGGTCTGGCCCTGCCAAGGCAACCGCAGGCGGGACTTGAAATTCAACAAATCTAGGAGCAAACCTGGAAAAGCAGTTGCGAGTAGCAGTGACATCATCAATACCAGCAGCTAACATCATCACCACGCCTCGCCAAAGAGAAGCAGTTCCAGCCCAACGCATTAGGGGGTGAGTTAATGAAATGTTTGACCAAATCTCACGGGCGAATTTTTAAGTTGAGCATTTTTGTATGATGTTATAGAAATATCCAAATGGCTCTTGGCAGAAAAAAGGTTCCCCGCCATTGCAGTTTAACAACACATTCCTGCGGAGGGAGCTGGTAGGAACGTTGGGTTGCTCGGTCAATGGCCTGCAGGGTCAACGGCGGCGTGGTGTATTCCGCAAATATGGCCGACTGTGAGGGCGGGCACAAGCCGGCGTGAGTAGGTGCAACGTTGAGTTTTATAAGGGCACCACGGGGTGACCAGCCCCTCCCCACCCAGCCCCACCCAGCCCCACCCTCCCCACCCAGCCCCACCCAGCCCCACCCCACCCTCCCCACCCAGCCCACCCCACCCTCCCCACCCAGCCCCTCCCCACCCTCCCCACCCAGCCCCACCCTCCCCACCCAGCCCCTCCCCACCCAGCCCCTCCCCACCCAGCCCCTCCCCACCCTATCATCCAACAGTGGATTGAAAATGGCTTATTGTGATGATGACGTAGCCTGTTGTTGTGAACGTGACGTCACGTAACCATTTTGTCAGTTAAAGGGCATCGGTGCGACTCGTTGCTACGTCACTCGCTCGCGTACGCGAGACGTGACGTCAAAACGCCTCCTGCCGTCGGTCGGCACGCGTGACGTGACGTCAGAACGCTCGTCGTAGCAAGCTGTGACGTCAGAACGCTCGTCGTAGCGCTCCGTGACGTCAGAACTCTCGTCGTAGCGAGCCGTGACGTCAGAACGCTCGTCGGCTCGAGCCGTGACGTCAGAACGCTCGTTGTAGCAAGCCGTGACGTCAGAACTCTCGTCGGCTCGAGCCGTGACGTCAGATCGCTCGTAGCGGAGTCGTGACGTCAGAACGCTCGTAGCGGAGTCGTGACGTCAGAACGCTCGTAGGCGCGAGCCGTGACGTCACCGGCGTGCGCCGTTTGGCTGTGGAGCGAGGCGGGAGAGCGGTGGCGCAGCGGTTGCGGCAGTGACCGCGAACGAAGCCGCCTCAAGAGACCCGGTTCGACTCCCCCCGCGTGCCCAGCGGGGCCTGCGGCTCACGGCCACCGTCACCGCCACGAGCCGCCTCCTCCACAACCACCACAAACACTACCACCACCTCCACCACTAACCACCACCACAAACACCTCCTCCATCCACCACCTCCTCCACAACCACCACTAACACTACCACCCACAAAACACCTCCTCCATCACTACCACCACAACCTCCTCCACCACTCCCGCCTCTGCCACAACCACCACAAACACCTCCTCCATCACACTACCACCACCTCCATATCACCACCACTACCACCTCCTCCAACTAACACCACCTTCACTATCACCACCACTACCACTACCTCCACTACACCACCTCCATACCACCCCAGCCCCACCAGCTACAGACAACTACCACCACCACCACTACCACCACCTCCACTACCACAAAACACTACCACCACCTCCTCCACTACACCTCCACCACCACCTCCATCACCACTACCACCGTCACCTCCATCCACCACCACAAACACTACCAGCACCACCACTACCCACAAACCACCACCACCCTACACTACCACCACCTCCTCCACTACCACCACTTCCTCCACTACCGCACCTCCACTACCACAAACACCACTACCACCGTCACCGCCGATCACCTCCTCCACTACCACCACCACTACCACCTCCTACACTACCACCACCTCCAACCACCACTACCACCACCTTCACTATCACCACCACCTCCTCCACTACCACCACTACTACCACCTCCTCCACTACCACCACCA